AGGATGGAGTTTCCTAGAGCTCTAGTGAGAAGTTGTGACCAATGAGGTCCAATTAGATGTCACGTGTGTGGATGGATGTACCACAAACGACAATGGTTGGGATCGCGCTAAATCACGAATTGGTAGAAGTTAGAATTCATGTGTTGGCCATTGAATCGGGTCCCAGTGGCTGAATGGTATACGAGCTAGCTTGTCTGCCTTGTAACCGGAAGTTCCTGGGTTCGAATTCTGGCAGTGGGGTGGGTGCGTACTTCTTGTGATTCCCAAACTAGGCTGATGAAACAGCAGCTGTCCAGTACTCCCTGGTTGGTTTTCAATGGTTCTCTAGCTAATATCAATCCATGATCAACTCGTAAAAACAAAACTAACCCTTACAAACCAAATTATAGAAGATCAAAGTTACCAAAATGTTTTTTAATCATAATGTGACCAGCTTGACACAACGAATAGTGTTTAAGTGAGAATTAAATGCCCATTTTCACTGGGCACTCGAATATCGTTTTAGCTGAGTGTATAGCATCGCATATCAAAATACACATAGTCCTTTTGAGAGGCGGCAGTACACTGTGATGAATTTTACACACATACACACACAAGCATACAAACACATAGATGACAAGAAATATTGGTTATTTAATATTGAATAAGTAATTTTAGAAAAACTAATAAGAGAGCAAATTATGAAGTAACAGTTGACATGAGTGCTTCGAGTGCAACATAGATAGATAAATTGTTTAACGAAACATTCGAAAACCCACTGATACAGGAAAGATTTAGCGAAAAATTGCTTCGATTATTTCCATAAATCATCTAAGGCTAAGAATTTTAGATAGTGTGTGTAGTGAATTAAATATTTTGACTTCCCTCTTCCACAATACGATGGCAATAAACCAATCAGTCCGTGATGCAACTAGTGTCATACGCAATCGATCAATTATAATGACTAATCTTCAACGTTGAAGTGTACAGTTAAAGACAGAACATATTACATCCATTAAGATCTTTAAGGAGCAAAATGGTGAGAGGTTAGCACTTTCCCCTCATAATAACACTTCAATGACTTTTAATCGAAAACTCAGTGGATATCTATGCGTTTTAGTGAATAAATCGTTAGCCACTTCTATAATAGTAATAAACAGATAGCTCAAAATACCTCTCAGGTCATTCTCATGTGCACTATGTTGATGTAGAAAAGTTACCATAGTGATGGAATTTTCCGTAACCATTGATTATTAAGAGTTACAAAACCATTCCAGTGAAAGAACTGTTTTTACAGCCTCTTTAGATACTCCAATGACCTTGAGTGTGTACTATCCGGTTGGATAACGAGACCTACTATTACTATAGTGTCACTATGAACGCTGTACACGAGTCAAGGTGAAAATTTTCATCCCGATCTTGCTTTTAAGTACTGTTTGAGCAATGTGTTAATAGCTTGTCAGGGTTACAGTCACGATTAGGGTTAGGATCATCAAGGGAAGAAGGACTAGAATTAGGGTTATGATTAGAGTCAGGATAAAAGTTCAGGGGTTACGGGCAAGAGGAAACAATAAGCATCAAAGTCAAATAACCTTGATTTAACCAGCTAGATAGCTCAGCATTACAAATGGTTGCTAGTCATAATCCTCGTTGAAAGTGTTTTTAACTTCTCTGTGGAAAAGTGGGTTAATAGGAAGGAATAAAACATGCATATGTAGTGGAGGGATAATGACTATTGAAAAAGTATTGCCAGGCTATTGATAGTTATACATTCAGATGCAACCAGATGCAGCAACGCTAAGAATGGTGTTCTCCAGTCAGTCGCCCACTGATCTGCAGAAGCCTCAAGGACAAGACCTCGGATCTGACTACTTCTATGTCCATATATCAGTTCACCTGTTGCTGTGAAGTCAACCAGGCACATCGGTCATTCGACGCGCATCCTGTCCACGAAGATTCAAGAACACTATAAAGCCAGCATGGTTGCGAAAAGGCAATAGTGGTGCAATAAGGAGTGCGACAAGTGAACACTTGGTTAACACTGATAATTACATTTCAACAAACGCCTCCTGCTTCAAAGTAATCTACAGAGTCAAGAATAACCTATCAAAGGCAATACGGTTTCGTCTTCTTTGTATCGCTGAAGCTCTGGCCATCCATTCACATAGAAAAACCGGAGCTGTGCATACAAAAGATAATTACTCAACCACTTCTACTCTCATGGTAACAATGTTTTGATTTGTTTTGAGTTTTTTATTTACTTTTATTTTGATGACTTAATTTTGTTTCTTTGTCTGTTCTTTAATTGCTTATAATTCTTGTATTCACTTAGATCTCTTACATAATTTCGTATTATCTACTTTGTTTCTAAGTGCATCCTGAGTAAAACTCATTCATCAAACTATTCATATTATTATTGCATAATTTCTTTTAACAACTGATTGTGACAACTCATCACCTTTGTTACTACCTTAGTTTCATTAATACTTGATTTTCTTGACTTGTATTATTATTATTATTATTATTGTATCCTTTAGTTCTTAGAGGAACATAGGGCTTCAGCTGCGCACCTCCATTGCCTTCGGTTTTCTGACAACTTTTTCACCCTGCTCCAGGTATATCCGCATGCTTTCATCTCCTCTTCGCATGACCTCCTCCAAGTCACCCTTGCACTGACGACCAACTCGCCGCCTCCCTTTCGGGTTCCACTCGAGCAATGGCTTGTCTGGTGATGCCACTCACTTGATGGTTTCCTCAGAGTATGGCCAATCCATCTCCATTTCTTCCTGCCTATTTGTTTCACAATCGGTTCCTGATTGGTTCGCTCCCAGAGATCCCTGTTGCTGATCTTTTCTGACCATCTGATCTTGAGTATTGAGCGGAGACAGCTGTTAATGAAGGTTTGAAGTTTGTTTGAGATGCTCTTTATGACTCGCCAAGTCTCTGATCCGTATAGTAGCACTGACTTCACATTGGAGTTGAAAATCCGGATCTTATTTTTGATGCTGAGTGCTGTTGACCTCCACACAGATTTGAGAGTAATGAAAGCTTGTCTTGCTTTTCCGATTCTGGCTTTGATGTCCTCATCAGTTCCGCCTGTAGTTGAGACGATGCTTCCCAGGTAGGTAAGTGGGTAAAGGAGGTTGTTTCTTTCAGGTTCCTCCCATTTATGCTGACTGATTGTTGTCTGTTGTTGTTGGCCAAGAATCTTCATCACCTCTGTTTTATCTATGTTCACTTGAAGTAAGTCCTATCTTTGATGCTTCTTCTGCCAACTTGTTACTTTTCACTTGCATATCTTCCAGTTTATGGGAAATCAGACATATATCATCGGCGAAATCCAGATCCTCCAAGTCTTTTGTGTCAGTCCATTTTATGCCTGTTCCCTCGTTGGTTTCCGTTGTCTGTCGCATTATCCAATCAATTGCAATCAGGAAGATCATTGGTGATAGTAGACAGCCTTGCCTCACTCCCGTCCTCACTTCGAAGGCCTCCGTGAGTTTCCCGTTGTGGATTACTTGGCATGCAGCATTGTCGTATAACTGTTGGATGAGATGTATAATTGTCAATGGGACCCCGTAGTAGCGAAGTAGTTGAAAATCACCTCGCGATCGACGCTGTCGAAGGCCTTTTCAAAGTCGATGAAGTTGAGATAGAGAGGTGACTGCCAATAAAATAACCTTAACCAATTGTAATTTTGTTTGACAAACTTAATGTACACATACATACATACAAAACAACACATATATATTTGCGATTGTACAGCTAAGAAAATGAATTCGCCGCCGCCGAAAAGAGACTCTTCGCTGATCTACGTGTTTTGTTTTCATTATGTGAGGAAGTCTGTATAAGTTAGCAAGTCGCACATAACTGGTGATTTTTTAGACACTTTCTTCTCGAAATCAAAGCTCTCCAATAACTGGAGAAATAGAAAATACATTGGTTTGATATGTTTATAACGACTTCCATCAGAATCTGGGACCAGTTTTTGCAGGATATTAAAGATAAATACCCTATATGATTCATTTTTATTACATATATATCGTAGATACACACTTTTTTGTAAGTTAAGTACCACTTTTCACCCAGAAGAATCTGATTGGCTCTTTCAAAGTCGTCTGAATTTGATGTCTATTCTTTGCTGTTGCCAGGTTACGATTACGATTAGGTTTGCGGTTGGTAGTATTTATTTTTATTATCCTCACTTCCTTAGTAGTAAATAGTAAATAAATCGATCCTCTTACTGAAACCCATACTACTTCAATCGAGGTCTTTTGAGAAAGACTGCAAAACAGGATAAGAGCGATACACAGGTCACAATAAGAACTCATCTTTAGTCACACCTAGATGAACACACATGCGCAGAAACTGGTCTAACTTAAAAACTGATATCCCTCATTATGATTTGGAGGTATTTTTAAGTGATGTCATATATTCCTTTTGCAAAATAAAGGGCATTTTTATGCAAAAACCATTGTATTCCCTGATTGGTCCGCTCAAAGTCCTCCATGCGTTCACCTTTCGTGGATCACCATAGTTTAACTTTGTCCCACTTTAAATAACGCCACATTGAACCTAATTCCGCAATGTCAACCATAAAACCATAAATTCAGAGCAGAAGAATCGGATACATCACTATAATTTCTCGCGTTAAAAGCATATAAACTGCAACTTAATGCTTCTCTCTGTCAATGAGAAGATCACGTATTTATGCAGCACAAACGTTTAGCTAAACTACAATATTGATTACAGAAATGAAAAAAAAATGCCTTACGATCGATAAAAAAAAACAACAACAAGTAATCCAACTAACAACAATAATTATAATAAAAGTAAGGTAAACAAAATACAATGAGTAATAATACACATAAACATGAACAATTTCTCTCTCTCTCTCTCACTCACCGGATGAACATTCCCCATAACTTTTGGTGAAGTTGGTGAATTTTCGCCTGTCTGTGGACGACGATTTGATCGAAATTCTAAAATTTTCAATTTTTCAACACTTCCACTATTACTACCACTAGAAGAAGTATTGCTATTACTTGAATTTCCACGATGTAAAAGTTTTTTAATTAAACCATGCTTTTGACTATTATTACCACTATTATTACTACTAATGATATTTGTAGTTACAGTTGATTTACCAGAATTATTATTAAATTTTAAATCCTTTACACTAGATGACGACGAAGAGGAAGAGGATAGATTAGTAGCAATATTAGTGTGGTGATGATGATGATGTTGACGACTGTCTAATGATCCACCGAATAAACCACGATCATTATTATTAGTAGTAGTAGTAGCAGTTGTGTTAGGATGTTTATTAGCGTATGATTCATTCACCGTACTCTTATATGATTTATTCACTTCGTCCTGTGAACGACTGTTAACTAACGAAGTAAGTGGTCTGTTTGTAAATGATTCTACTTTCTGATTGGTTGTTTCATCCATTGGTTAATATAAGTTAACCAATCAGAGTTAAGATTGTATTTTTTTGTTTGTTTGTTTGTTTCGATTTGTTTAAATGACTACTCTGAACAAAGTTAAAATTGTCACGTGGTGTTGTTGTTTGTATAGTTAATTTGATAACCACAGTAGGGCCTTCTTTTTTAATTATTATTATTATTATTGTCTTTAATAATGTAGGGGGGATGTGAAGGAATCGGATTCAGTCATTCATCTGAAAAGTGAAGATTATACAATATGATTACATTAACAGAATAATCGTAAGAATAATAATAATAATAAAAGATTAATTCCTGACGGAACTTTTGATATTATGTGGAATTTTTAGCAAGTAATTCAATGCAGCGTCTAATTTTCTCTTTATATTCCGCAATACAGGGAGAAACAATCAAGGGGGCATCTTCTTTTTAATTCCCTTTACGTTCCCAGTGGAAGGAACATAGGGTGGCTTCAAGCTAGAGGCTTGAAGTTTCTGTAGCAGTGGTGGTATTTATTTCTACAAGATGGGGTTGCTAGCCTCATGCTTAGCCAACGTTCCCTCTTTACCAGTCTTATCAGTGGCTTAGCGAGGTAGAGGACTGCGTCGTCCAGTGACCTGGGATCAAACTCCGGACCACCTGTGTGGTCGGGGAGCACTCTACCATTGTGCCACCGACGCACCAAGAGGGCATTTACATGGACAACACCGTTCAATAAGAATATGAATTTTCAGTCGTCGGTTTGTGAGGATTAGATTTGTGCTTAAGAGTTGATCACGGGTTGATATCAGTTAGAGGAGAATTGAAAACCAGCAGAGGAGCGGTGGACAGAATTCATCGGCTGGCCATTGAATCGGGTCCCAGTGGCTGAGTAGTATACCAGTTAGCTTGCCTTGTAACCGGAAGGTCCTGGGTTCGAACCCTGGCAGTGAGTGCGTACTGTCGATGTTTCCCAAACCAGGATGAAACAACTGTCCAGTACCACAGTACTGGTGTTCAATGGTTCTCTAACTGATAGCAATCTGTGATCAACTCGTAAAAAGAATATGAATATAAAATTAAAACTTGAGTAGAAATATTATTAACAACAGTATATTGATGAAAGAAACAATAACAAGGGCTATTTTACTCAGTGTTTCTCAGCAAATAAAGAATGGAACATTCCTTACACACTGATCATCATAAAAAGTGAGTATATTACGAATAAAGTCTCCTTAATTCCATATCAGTTCGTTCATTACATGCATACATCAAACATGGTCAGTGAAGCAGTATTATTATTTACTGGATGACAAAGTTTAGAAGACAATTTATTCATTGTTCATAATCATATCGCCAATTATAACCACACAACTTCGAAACTTGAGTTTCACAGTTTTCTTTATTCTTTCCTATTTGTCGTCGTGATGGTAGTAGAATTTTCCAGATGTCTAGGTGGACAGGTATTGTTAAGAATTCTCCGTAAGGTGGTTTCCAAGGTTCCTTCTTTGTATGGAAAAGTACTACTGATGGCGATTTAAATTCCCTATTGTTGGTGTTGTCATTATTTCGTGCATGTTTGACATGCTTGTCGTCATTAATATTATCAATATTATTATCACTGTTATTACGATTGTTATTAATTTTATGTTTACATTTCCCCACATACTTCCTGATTAATTCATTAGGGTAATTATTAATTAAGTGTCAAAGCTTCTCTTATATGCCTAACTTCCTGTCTTAGATTTCCCTCGGTACTAATTTAGTTGTTGTGCCATATTGTCACTTAAACACTTAACCAAACCTATTTTTACTGACATAGGATGGGATGATCAGAAATCCAAGTATCGGTTTGAATTTTCGAAAAGTCATCCAGTAAATAATAATAATAATAATACTGTTTCACTGACTGTCTGATATATCCATCTAATAAACAAAAATAATATGTAATTACATACTACCACAGTTCACAAGTTTTACACGTATATTAATAAGGTATCCTCAATACTTAGTCATCCGAGTACAAGGTCTTTTATAATTGTTTCTACTCCTACCTAATGCAGATGCAAGGATAGAGAGAGAGAGAGAGAAATGTGCACAGGGAGGATGCTAAGAGTCCGACAAGATAATATTCGTCAATTTCTTATGTAGGTTTAAATGTCTACTGCAGTATTGGTGAATTGGCTTCACTCAACCGATAGCTTGTTTTATTACCTTTCACAGTGTAACATTCTTTTTTAAGTAACTCAGGAAAGAATACTGGGGAACAATAAAGAAGAATATATAAGCAGAATACATGAATAAATAAATAAACTGTGCAAGTAGAAACATGATTTTGAAAAAGGCCATAAAAAAAATCAGAGAAAAGACATAATCCAAAGTATTTTAACACTCGTCATTTATGATACAAAAATCATCGAAATAAACCAGTTCATATGAAATCACGCTTGTGTTTGAAAGTGAAATTAACAACCTGAAATTTTGCAGGAGTTTAGCTTAAGACCATCTGAACAGAACTATACACTAATTCCAGATAAAAAAAAAACACGATTGATTTTGTAATCATCCGATCGAAATGTGATCGGCATGAAAACAAAATTAGTTTCAGCGGGTGCAGCGGGTCGGGTGTGAGGACAAATACTCTCCGAAGACATTGGCTAGCGGTCGCGCTATGTCGTGAATTGGCAGAAGTTAGAATTCATGCAGTGGCCATTGGATCGGGTCCCAGTGACTCAACGGTCTACAAGCTGGCTCGCCTTCTAACCAGAAGGTCCTGGGTTCGAATCCCGCAGTGTGGGTGCGTACTGATGAAGAGTCCCACACTAGGACGAAACATCTGTCGAGTACTCCCAGATTTTCCAATGGTTCTCTAACTAATTTCAGCTCATGATGAAATCCTGAAAATTAGTTTCATTAGATATAAGACAAATAGAAGAGAAGAGGTGACAGAACCTTGAGGAACACACTGGCTAGAGTATGTAAACAATTTAAATACCTCCTATTATATACAATGTACTACTTCCTATCAGAATAGGAAGAATGCAACCAGTTATTAGTCCACCATCCTCCTTGTCTCACAGCAAGCTTGTTTACTGACTGATTGGTTTCAATGTAGAACTTTGCACAAATGTGCAGCGGTTCCACCTGGTTGCCACTCTCCCTCCATGAACCACACAAACCAAGAGAAGAGAGTGAAGAGAGATTCAAGACAGACACAGATAATCAACAGAAATATGAGGCAAAAAGAGCAGTAATATCGAGGAACAATGGAGTTTTATTGGATATGAGACAGCACAACGAGTGAATATGCATATCTGAGTCAGCCATTGACAATGAGAATTCTGAGCCATATCACCAATTGTCTCCAGCTATCATTGGCTTTTACCATCTCAAGGATCCTGAATATAACTTTTGTGGAATCCATCGACTGATGAAACCATGTGTTTGGTTTGACCAACCTGATCCATCATATGTCCAGTCAGCTAACATTTCCCGTTGTTGAGGAAGGCGATGGTTAGGACATGTGTTACGCATGCCTAACCATCTTAGTCGATGTAACTTTACCACACAACCTTGTCGATTGATTTCCCCTTCTTACCTTTTTGCACTCGACCTAAACATCACGCCCAATATTACTCACCTTATTAATAAAAGAGGTCTCGATACACAATCAAGGTCAGACGTGCAAACATAAAATGATATCAAATACAATTTAAAATACAAGTTTTTTTTAAACTGGGAAATCATTTACAAACGAATATTTCAAGAATCTAACATGTCACATTCACTGTTTTTACCCCGACTGACACTGAAGTATACTACTAGGGGGCTTCAAGCTTTGGAATTTCAGTAGATAGTGGTTAAGTCCAGAAAAGAGGGGAGTTTATGTATGAGGTCAACGAAACCCTGCTTGAACACCCTACGTGGCTGGCGACCGTTCTACCATTGAACCGCTGCCGATGGATATCAGAACATTCTTCCTTCTTCTAATGTACATTTCAGTTGAAATGATCCGAGAATAAGGAAGTGTATAAAAGGTAAACTAATCGCAGTCAAGACCATTAGAAGAGACATGAGTATCATGTAGAATTCGAAAGTTCTCACTCAATGTCGAAGTAGGCACTGGAGCTTAACAATCAAACCATCCAGTTTAGAGAATACAACCACAAGGAAACATCTCAATACTACATTCAATCGACACACTTTTAATAGTAAACAATAATAAAGTTGGCTTGTCGATGATTCAATGTTAGAATTTGTGCCAACCACACACGTTGTTCGAGGTTCCATTCCCAAACGATTCATTCCTAAACCTCTCCTTACCAGTCCTTCTACTATCAGGTACAATATATAATCATATGCAGTAGCTAATGACATAAGATTTCGACTCCCATCACTGATAGTCATGTCCAAGCCGTCTAACAACTGAACAAATCATCAAATACTAATTGAAGGGTAACAGAAATAAACTATTTTGAATCGATTAGGTCCATTGTCCCTTGATCAATGAATGCACTAATGACTGTCAAACCAAATAGCCTGAACAGCTTTGATACAAACATCAGTAAGCTTCACAGTAATAAAGATGGACAATGCGTTAGAATACAATAAGAAGGAATATAACAGACTGCTTGAATCACTTAACTATGTAATTCCCCATCGCACACAATGCAAAAGATTTAATCCCCGTTTTATATTGCTTAGTTTACCCATATACTACTTATATACTCTTTTAAGTAACCTTTAGTTTATAACAAAATATTTTTCGAAAGTAAAGAAGAAATCCATTGCTGGGTGCAGTGGTGGTGGTGGAGTGACAAGACAGTGTGCTTAATTTAAATGACATAACGTTGATTACTACTTTAATAAGGATTCTTATATAAAAAGTGAATGCTGCTCAATAAAATATTCAAGGGTCGCATAGTTTCATTGATATACCCCACACTCTTGTCTACTGATTAATTTTCAAGTATTGGTTTTGTAGGGATTGAATTTGTTTGATTGGTTGTAGGATTTCATCATGAGCTG